TTTGGAAAAGTTGAAATGGGAAGTCCTACCCCACCCGCCGTATTCTCCAGACGTTGCTCCCTCTGACTATCACTTGTTTCGATCAATGGCACACGGTCTGGCTGACCAGCACTTCCGGTCTTATGAAGAAGTAAAAAATTGGATTGATTCGTGGATCGCTTTAAAAGATGACCAGTTTTTTCGACGCGGGATTCGTACGCTACCCAAAAGATGGGAAAAAGTAGTGGCCAGAGATGGGCAATACTTTGAATCATAAATGTATAATCAGTTTTTTATAATAAAGCCTCGAATTTCGGAAAAGAAACGGCGGAAGCAAAGTTGTACACCTAATACTTAAAAAATATCAGAAGAAAATGAAAAATATTTTGGAAAGTATTCATTTTTCGATGATTTTTACTTATACGGAATATGGTTGGAAGAATTGATTTGTGTTAGAAAAACATGTGATTCTATTTAAAACATTGAAACTAACCTTGAAATTTCTCACATGCTGCCACTCACAAAAAGAATCATTGCTACTCTACATTACGTTACTTACAAAAACTGTAAAACTTTTGTAGACTTTATTTTCCTGTATTGTTTGAAATAGTTGAGATGTAGACAGTTTCTTTTATTAACTCTAATATGTACCGTACATTTTTATATGGAAAATAGAAATACTAGCATATTTCTAATTTGCAGTGACTTTTTGCAATTACGGCAATACATCCCTAAGAGAGATAATTTTTGAAAATACGCGACAATTCCCACTAATCTTTCCCATTAATCAAGCCGGCACCGCCACTAAAATCCACATTCGTTTACATATGGATTAATTAGTTCAAGTTAGTTATCCTACTTCTCTACTTCACTTTACTCTCAGGTCTAGAAAGAGACGAGCAGTTATCTCCCAACTAATTTTATCCAACGGTTAATTTATCTCGATTAATTTTGTCCAACCGAAGGCGAGGGAAACGGGCTGGCTGAATAAATCATCTTGCCGTCTTCGCCGGCGGGAAGTTTCGCCCTGACGGCGTCCAGGCAGGCGCGCAAACTGTCCTCCCGCGTCGGGTCCAGCTCCAATGGCACGATTTGGCCGCGGGCACGCGCTCCTTCCGGCTGCTGTAGATTACCATCGTCCGCATCGCCGGGTTCGCTCTCTTTCCGTCGCTCCAGCTCGACTGCCTTCAGGATTTTGACCGACGGCGAGCCGCCCGCTGGATCCAACAGGCCCGCAAACACCTGTCGCAGGAGGGACACGACGTTACACCTATATTTTGAAAGCTCACCGCGAACCCACGTTCCATGTGCCACTCCATTACACGCACCGTATCGACACCGTTTGATATGGCATTATGCTTTGACACTGATACGTCATGTTAAATGACACATCGGCTCGTTCGCGAGTCGGGTCTCAAATAAGCGATAAAAAAATTCAAATATTTTTTTTTTTTAGTTAGATTCTGCCTTTAATACCAGGAACAATTTTTACGATAGCGCTGGACGAATAAATGCCGATTGCGATCGATTAAAATAGAACTCTTCGCATTGCACGCTGACGAAAGCGTAGGGGAGGCCGGGGCTATACAGCCCCAGAAGTTTGTTGCTCATACTTTTTCCAGTATTTATCTTGAGAGGAATAGTGGATACAAAATAGTGAAATGGTCCTTTTAGAATATAAATACTTCTTCCTGAGTTTCACTAAAATAATACTACAGTTAAGAAGTAGAAAAAAACTGAATTGATAATGGCAAAATAAATTTCCGAGCCTCTCAAAATTTTGTATTAATATTCTTCATCGCGATTAAATAAAATAAGTAATATGTTACGAATTAGAATAAAATTTCTTGCAAGTATGATATACTGTTTCGGGAAAACGTAATTTCTATTTATAAAATGATTGGAATAGAGTATGTATGGACAGATGGCTCATAATTAAGGCAGAAGAACAGTGGAGACTCTGGAACTAATAAGAATATATTTTTTATACATGGCTCTCTTTAACCTGCGCTACTAAGTAAATAAATCCGATACCAGAATAAAATGGCTATGTTGCTGCATGTTCGTATTTGGGTTATTACAAAATAAAATATACAGTTAACAGAACTGTGGCGTTAATACATAGAAGAAGATTGTCACGTTTATGCAGTCAGTCACATTAATTAGTTACCAGAGAAGTTGTAACTTCGAAACTCTAAAATATAGCACGTCCCGGTCTTCTCTATTTAACGTCAAGCAACATTGCATAAATCTATTTTCCAGAGACGAATGGCTGTTGTTGCTCGATTAATTGGAGATTTTGTTCGAAATATCAATATCAAAGCGTGACATAGTGAGTGTGTTGCCTCGATTAACAGCACATTATAGAAATTTTGACATCTCCAAACGCCTTTTATTTTACATAACAGTTTCCATTTAATTTTGACTAGAATTATTCGCTAAAGTCATTTGAATCACTCAACGACTGTAATGCAAATCGGCAGCAGTCGTTTGACATGTACGGTTCTTGTTACTGAAAAGGTAATAAGTAATCCAGCGCACGAATTTCGAGTACATGGAACAACCAAACTACAATTGGAATCCGTATACCGGTGACCTACATGAATTCTATTCGTTTGCAACGTGAAAATTCTATTGCTCTGTCTTAATGAAAGTTTTTATAGAGCATATAAATAATGCAAGTCGATTAATTCAGCAAATCGCCGATCTAACAGGATTAAATAATATTTCAACATCAAAAGCCGGCCAAAATGTCAAAAGGTGTCGCGCGTTATTAGTTGAAACTAGTTTCAATACTGCATTTCACAGAAAAGGGCACGTCAAACTATCGAGAAACATTTCCAAGCACATGGTGATTGGAGTTTCCTTTTTAACGCTTTACGGTTCGCGAATTATTTCAGCCATTTCCTTCCAGCCGATAAATAGAAACTCGGTTACTTTGCGATCGTATTGTGTGGCTTGTGTTTACTCCAATACTTAATTAATACAACACACAACACATTTACACTCAAGAAAATATAGTCTCATCCTTAACGGAATCCTTTCCTAAAGGATTCTACTCTTACATATGATTTTGACAGGATTCTTTTAAAACCAGAAGGAAAATATCCTGAACGCAATATCATTAAAGTCAGAAGAATTTTGTCTTTTATTTACAAGTCTTGTTCTTCATAGAAATTCCACTCAGTAAGATGATTCTACTTCAAATAAATATATTCTTCTTTATCGAAAATGATTAAAATAATATGTAGTAAATTCCTGATTATTAATCCATTTTATTAGAAGAGAAATATTCTTTAAGTAGAAGTTTTCACTTAGACTATTGGATTATACATAATACATCTAAAAATATATAATCTTATCTTGAACGACATCCTCTTATATATGATCTCAAGAGAATTCTTCTTAAACTAAAAGGAAAATATTTTAATTACAATATTCCTAAAGTTAGAAGAATTTTGTCTTTTATCTGTCTTGTTCGTAATAGAAATTTCTTCTAGCAAGAAGTCATTATGTTTCAAGCAAACATATCCTTCTTCATTAAACAAAAAAAATAGTTAGAATAATTTATAAGAATAATTTATAAGAATAGTTAGTATAATATTAGAATAAAAATAGAATAATATAGTAGAATATTTAGTAGATTTACAATTAACAGTTCACTTTATTAGAAGAGAAATACACTTTTGATAAGAGCTTTAAATATGGGATTACAAGAAATATAGCTGCTGGAGTTCTTCTTTTGTGCGTTCGAATATCCTCCTTTTGGTGTTCAAAGAATCTTTTTGATATAAAAGAATTTTCGTTAAGAATAAGACTATATTTTTAGATGTAGCACACCTTGCAACTAAAATTCCTTTTTTGAGTGTATACTAATATATTTATAAAAAGTTTCTCGTAATGTATAAAGTATAATGTATAAAGAAAATATCAATGCATAAAGAAAATTAATTTATGAATTCGATCAGAATGAATTGCCATGTTAAGGTTGATTCGACTCAGAATCAGCAAGGGATTAAAGAACCAACAGAAAACACAATACTATCTTTTAAATCGAAGCTCTCGCGCAAAATCGGCATAGAGAACGCTCTGTAAATTATAGCTGGAATGGTATCTGACTTTGGTGAGTATCTATCTTTCAGAGGCAATCTTTGGCGAAGCGCCTCTTGAGTGGTGACGCGATATACTCGGCGAGACCGTTGGACACGTGAATACCTGTCGAGAGACTGTCGGCAGAACTGATTTAAGGGCTCACCGATGTTCCGCTCCCTTGACACGAGGAAACTAATTTGGAGCCCGGGCTCCGACAATCTGAAATATGTTGCACGCTCGAAGGGATAATAGGGATTCTGACGTAAGGCTGCGGGATATTGCGTTTCAACGGCTGTCGTCGCGTCGCACAGTGCAGCTTAACTTTAGCTGGGAGGTCCGCAAAACCGCAGTAAGAGTGGACGTACGCGGAGAGAGAGCCAGACGTCTATCCTATTTTAACACCACCGTGTTACCGAGAATTAGCGGCTGTACACGGGATTAGTTTCTCACCTCGTGTAGAAAAGAAGATAAGAATTGATTTTCCCCTCGTAATCCGTACTCTTTAACACAAATCCGTCGTTTGTAAAGATATAAGCGTCGCGAGTGATCGAAAATTGATCGACACGACCGCCCCGACCGTTTTTTATTTAAAATCGCAAAAAGAGAAGAGAAAAAGACAGAGCAGAAAACGCATCAGTCGCACACGACTGTGATAGAGCAATATTTGTCGAATAGCGGCTTACTCTCGTTTCCTGTGACCAGTAAGAGCCCGCATGGCAACAAAAAATTTAGCACGGTTCCCACGCAATAAAGCGACGAGCCGTTACTTGGAGCAGCCTTCGCAGTGCGGCTCTCGCGCAATTTTGAATATTCACCGAACGTGGAATATCGGCGGCTGGCATAACGGGCGAACGTATGGTGAAGTTTATGCCGCCGGTAATTTATGGCAGACGCATACCCGTGGCCATTATTACCTTGTAACCGGCTTCGTAGAGTGCAAGGGCGATCTGCAAGCCCACGCATGTATCACAGCTGGTAACGAGTACATGACGTTTGTTACGCGACTCGTACTCGTCGGCGGCATTCCTGGATTGTCGCATCAGATAGGCCAGCAGGGCCGCGACTATCGAACATAAAGCCAATATCTGCAGGGCCAAAATGGCCCCCGTTTCAACATCCATTGTGACTCGCGCGACGGATCTGCAAAATAAAAATAAAACGGTGGTTAAGCTTTGAGTAAGGGACACATTTTTAATTAACTCTCGGCTCACCTCGGCTTATAAGACTAGAAGGCAGAGAGGTGTTCTTTGTGTCGTACACTTTCTTCACATAATAAGTGCAAAACTGACCAACGTAATTACTATGTGTCCTGGTGGAAATTTAATAGTTTTCGACCAGTTACTAGACAGTTGTGTCAATTTCTCGTAGTTGAAGGGTAAAACTATTTGGGATCCCAATCAAGATTTCGCTTTTCTTGCAGTTATTGCGTACGAAAAATGTGCAAAATCTAAATCTATTTACGAAAATAGAATAGAAAATGAAAAATTTTCAATTGGTTAATAATCTGTGTTGGTTAATAACCGGTCTGTTACTCATAAAATGGGAAGATGTGTTCTACACGGAAAAAGAAATTTAGTTGAATTAACTAAATGTCTGATGAAGTATGAAGGAACCAGAACTTCCGATTCTAATTTCCAGAATTCTATTCAAGTCAACAAAACTTATGCAATAGTGAGCAAGAGTTTGAACAAGAGTACACTATAAAAAAAAATAGAACTAATAATAAATTTGATTATAAACAAAAGTAACAAGAATTCAATTAGTTGAAGTGCTAGTTATGGTTTCTGCATACAGGATGTGGAAACGCTTGCCACGCGGCAATACACGATAGCCAATCAACGTGAGGCTTTTTAAGAACTGGAATAATCTCATAAATATAAAATCATTTAAAAATGATCTAGATAAATGCGCTGATTATTTCATTTTTTATTTAAATGAATTAAAAGCGAAATCATCTTCATCTCATCTAAAATGAATTTACAGATTTGCGTCTCATCTCTAGATAAATTTTAAATCATCAAAAACAAACACTGCTGATATGTCTTTATCACAAGGAAATTCTGTACTATTTATATATATATTTTTTTGTTTACTTCATCTCTAACCTTGGTTATCATCTCTGTCATAGAGGTTAATATTGTTAAATGTCGTATTTCTTTCAAATTCCTTTATTTTTTGCTACATACTTCTCTACATGTTTACTCAGTTTGCACACTATTTATTGACAAGGTAAATAGATATATTTTAAATTTATACGTAGTAGACCTTATAATATACGCGTGTACTATAAAATTTAATTAATATTACTGATACACTATGTTTTGGAAAAAAATCAGTCCATATATTGTAAACTGCTTTAACCGCTGAATGAAACTGTATTAAATTCTTGTCCAGTCTCTATGAAGTATTTTTATAAATAATGAGAATGCATTAATACTAGATAATAACTGAATTGATGTCTACGCAAACTGCATATATTTCTGCCAGGATATCTTCTTTCCAGAAAAATTTAAAATTGCATGATAATGCGCTTTTTATAAGCTCGGACTTGAACCAGTGCTTAATTAATGAAATGTTACGGTAACCCGAGAGCTAACGAATGCATCAGGGGATTGATATCCCCACGCTTTTAAAATTCACTCATTTATGCAAATCATAAGAAAGGTGCTTCTAAATGAAATAAATGTATGAAAAACGTGATGTAGTATTTTGTGCACAATAAAATTATAAAATTGCCTAGAAACCAAGGAACACGATACTCAACTACGAAGATATTAAGTAGAAATAGCATTAATTTTCATTAGAAGACAAACGTTAATTATTTGAACAGGTATATGCTGGAACGAGAATCGTGGGTTAGCGCTAATTAATAATTTCCAAGGGAAAGTACGTTATTATCTCTAATGCGGTACTATTATCACGGCGCACGAACAATAGCGGGCGGGCATCTCAAGTGATGATAAAAGTATTTCCCAGATAAATGACGCTCGTTAATCCCACGGATGCATTTAGAGTTGAGATTAGGATCGAAACGTCAAGCATTTCGTAAACAAACGAATCCGCACGCAAAGCTGCAGCTTTTCAATGCCACGTGGCACGCGATTTCGACTGATCTCCATAAAATCGCATATGCACCAAAGCGCGATTGCTAAGTTGTCCTAAACTTGGTTCAGTCTAGGGCAATCAATCAATCGATTCTGAATTCTAAATTTCCTGTCCTGTTCCATTTACGCCTTTGTATAATACCTCTATTATTATTCGAGTCGTGGAAACTGGGTGAAACATTTCTCATTGTAAACATTTTTCCCATGATGACAGCTTAAAATTCCAAAAGACTTCCGTATCTGAAAGATACCCCCGAAATTCCGGGAACATCCCAAGTAGAACAGAAAATCACGATAACGTCAAAATGACAAGAAAATGATCAAATCGTGATTAAAAAGTGAGTTTCCTAATCATTTTCTCGTCATTTTGACATTAGTTTGACGTCATCGTGATTTCTCATTCTGTCTGGGTATTCACTTTACCCGCTGGCAGCAACGCATGAAAACTTGAAGTTTTTGCCTGAACAAGTAAAGGCTACGTGCTGAAAGAGTCAAGAAGAGCTCGGGAGAGGCACAGCCGGGGAATTGGTTTCCTTGTGAAAAGTGAACGGCGGGGCGGGGTCGTTTTTGCTCGGAGGAATCACTTGCCTTTCTAAACTGTATCTAGGCTTGGCTACGTACACTAGGTCGCTACCGATTTCCTACGGATCGTCGTTCACCGGCGGGAAATCGCTCGCCGGAGGGGCTCAGCCGCGGGATCGACCGATAGACAAGCGGCGGAATTCCGGCGATCGATGAAAATCGCACGAACGCGCCCGCGCGTTCGTTTGTCCGTTCGTTCGTTCGTTCGTTCATTCGTTCGTTCATTCGTTCTCTTCGCTCGACTGATTTAATAGCAGCGGTACCGTGTACCGCTAATGTGCCGAATCGATTAAACGGCCGAATGTATTTCAGGTCGTGTAGAGGGACATTTCTCCCTCGCGCGAAATGCTTCTTCGCGAGGAGCCGCGCGCTTTCTCGCGCGCACGATAAGTATCTATAATGGTGAACATCGAATCGTGCGCGCGTACCTCCGCGTACCTTCGCGTACCTTGAATCACGGAGATTAATGCGCGCGAGTAATGCAACGTCTCTACGACGAACTTCATTGATCGCTCAGCCCGAAAGCAAGACGTTTACAATGCGTAACCCTTGCAAAATTCTCTCTCTCTCTCTCTCTCTCTCTCTCT